GACCGGCTCTCCCAGTGGGCGATGCTGCTCAGAGGAGCCTCTGTGCGTGGAAACTCAGGGTGGGGCTTTCAGCGGAGAGGGGGGGCTCCTCCAGCTGTCTGATGACGCACCGAGCAAGGCAGCCGCAGCATCTGCCCAGGGTGAGGTCAGGGCACCACCCGGGAGACGGAGAGCATGGGGAGCGTTTCCTGGCACTGCTGCGGCCGGGCCTGAAAAGGTCACATGCGTCTCCTCCCTGGGGGGGACGGGAGAGATGCACACACAGACACACACACACACACACACACACAGAGTGGGCTGCACCTGCCCTCCAGCTCCCTGCCCCTCCTCCTGTTGCTGCTGCTGGTGCCCCTCCCTGGGTTGCTCCAGGCCTCTTTGGCAGCTAAATTGTAAATTTAATGAATTTATATGCCGCCCAATCCCGAAGGACTCCGGGCGGCTTACAAAATACAGGACTAAAAGATAAAAAGTTAAAAATAATAAAAGAGGGAAAAAAGCAACACATCATGCACTCAATATAGGTGGGGCTGGGCCTCATTCGTGAGGTCAACAGCCCCCCCAGGCCTGCCGGAATAGCCAGGTTTTAGTGGCCTTTTGGAAGGCCGAGAGAGTAGGAAGGGTCCGGATCTCTACGGGTAGATCGTTCCAGAGGGCCGGAGCAGCTACAGAGAAGGCCCTCCCCCGAGGGGTGGCCAGCCGGCATTGTCCCGGTCGACGGCACCCGGAGAAGGCCCATCCTGTGAGATCTTATCGGCCGTTGGGAGGTATGTGGCAGGAGGCGGTCCCGCAGATATCCAGGTCCTAGGCCAGTGTTTCTCAACCTTGGCCACTTGAAGATGTCCGGACTTCAACTCCCAGAATCCCCCAGCCAGCGAATGCTGGCTGGGGAATTCTGGGAGTTGAAGTCCGGACATCTTCAAGTGGCCAAGGTTGAGAAACACTGGCCTAGGCCATGTAGGGCTTTAAAGGTGATGACTAGCACCTTGAAGCGCGTTCGGAGACCGATAGGGAGCCAGTGCAGCTCGCGGAGGATAGGTGTGACATGGGTGTATCTAGGTACACCCGATATCGCTCGCGCGGCTGCATTCTGGACCAGTTGCAGTCTCCGAACACTTTTCAGGGGTGGCCCCATGTAGAGCGCATTACAGTAATCAAGCCTTGAGGGCATGAGTGACCATTTGAAGTGCCTCCCGGTCCAGGTAGGGTCGCAACTGGTGCACCAGGCGAACCTGGGCAAAAGCCCCCCTGGTCACAGCCGACAGATGGTGTTCTAGTGTCAGCTGCGAGTCCAGGAGGACACCCAAGTTGCGGACCCTCTCCGAGGGGTGTAAGATTTCACCCCCCAGGCTAAGGGGTGGGATATCTGGACTGTCCTTGGGGGGCAACATCAATAGCCACTCGGTCTTGTCCGGATTGAGTGCCAGCTTGTTCACTCCCATCAAGGCCCTGACAGCCTCCAGGCACTGGCACATCACTTCCACCGCTACACTGAGTTGGCACAGGGCGGACAGATACAACTGGGTATCGTCTGCGTATTGCTAGGGCAGGGGGGGGTGTGTGTGCTTGTTCCTTCTCTTCAGAGCCCCCCCCCCCAGCCTCCTACCTTCCACTGGTGCCTCCTGAAACCCAGGTGCCCCGTCCTCCAGCCCCATCCCCGCCCCCCATGTGTGATTTCAGGCCACCCATTTGGGGGTCTTGCAGGGATAAAGTCCTGGAGAATCCAAGCCTCCCCTCCAGAAGGAGAGAAAGGGGGGTGTGCCCCTGGGGGCATCCAGAGAGCCTGGCTTTCTCCTCCTCCTCCAACCTTATGGGGGAAGGCCTGGAGGGTGATCAAGAGATCATCTAGTCCCACCCCCACCCAGGCCCTCTGAATTCCTTTTGACTTCCCCGAAGGCAAACGCAGGCCTTGTGGCTTGGCCGAGCCCTCCTGGTGCCCTCTCTGCCCCCTGCGGCTGCCCTCCTGCCCAGGATTCGAGTCTTCCCCTCTGCTGGGAGTCCCCGTCTCCTGGGGGGTGGGGCAGAGAAGCCGAGGGGGGGGGTGAGCCTCCCTACCTCCTCTCGGCCTTCTTCCTTCAGCCCCTTCTGGGGGGGGGTGTGTGCTTACATGTGTGTGTCTGTGTGTGTGTGTAGTCCTCAACCTTTGACCACAACTGAGCCCAAAATTCATGTTGCTAATTGAAACATGTGTTAAGTGAGTTTTGCCCTTTCAACAACCTTTCTTGCCGCTGCCGTTAAATGAATCTCCGCAGTTGTTAAGTTAGCAGCATGGTCGTTAAGTGAATCTGGCTTCCCCATGGACTTTGCTTGTCAGAAGGTTGCAAAAGGGAGTCACGTGACACACACACACACAGACCCCGGGCCCTGTGACCGACGTAAACAGGAGTCGGTTCCCAAGCGTCTCGGTTTTGATCGTGTGACCCTCACGGGGGATGCCGCAATGGTCATAAGTGTGAAAAATTGTCATAAGTCACTTTTTTCTATGCTGGTCACTAAGTCAACTGTCCTAAGTCGACTGCCCGTGTACACACACACACACACACACACACCAGCACACGTCCTTGGCAGATCTTCCTTCTGGGCAGGCTCCCCCAGGAGAGGAGGGGAGAGGAGAGAAGGGGAGGGGAGAGGAGAAGGAGGGGAGGGGAGGAGAGAAGGGGAGGGAAACAGAGGAAGGGGAGGGCAGGAGGGGGGAGGAGAAGGAGGGGAGGAGAGGAGAAGGAGAGCAGAGGAGATGGAGGGCAGGAGGAGGGGAGGAGGAGAGGGGAGAGGAGAGGAGAAGGAGAGGAGGGGAGGGAAACAGGAAGGGGAGGAGAGAAGGGGAGGGCAGGAGGGGGGAGGAGAAGCAGGGGAGGAGAGGAGAAGGAGAGCAGAGGAGGTGGAGGGCAGGAGGTGGGGAAGGAAGGAGAGAAGGGGAGGAGAGGAGGGGAGGGAAACAGGAAGGGGAGGAGAGAAGGGGAGGGGAGGAGAAGGAGGGGAGGGGAGGGAAGGAGAGGGCCCAGGTTGGGGGAGGGGCTGTTGAGGCCTCTCCGGGGCACCTGTTCCAGCCCACCTGCCAGGCGATGGAGCCCGAAAGGGGGAGCCCAAAGGGGGGGGGCAGTTCTTGCGGAAGGGCCCGGGTCCAGCCTCCGCATCCTTTGCCTCCGTCGTCCGGTCCAGAGCACCAGCAGCATCTGATCGAGCCTCTCTCCTTGTGAAGGGGGTCAGTCTAGAAGACCTCCAAGGCCCTTCCCAGCTCTGTCCCGACTCTCATTAGCGGCCTGACTAATTTCTTTCACCCCCAGGGGGGTCTGGGACGATGCTGAAGCTGCCCCAGTCTCTCTATCTCTCCCTCTGTCTCTCTGTCCCTCCCTCTCTCTCTCCCTCCCTCTCTCCCTCTCTCTGTCTCTCCCTCTCTCTCTCCTTCTGTCTCTCTCTGCCTCCCTCCCTCCCTCTCTGTTTCTGTCTCCCTCCCTCTCTCTGTCTCTCTGTCCCTCCCTCTCTGTCCCTCCCCCTCTCTCTGTCTCTCCCTCCCTCTCTGTCTCCCTACCACTCTCCCTCCCTCTCTCTCTGCCTCCCTCCCTCCCTCTGTTTCTGTCTCCCTCCCTCTTTCTCTGTCTCTCTCTCCTTCTCTCTCTCCCTCCCTCTCTCTCTCTCTCTCCCTCCCTCCTCCTCTCTTTCTCTTTCCCTCTCTTTGTCTGTCTCTCTGTCTCTGTTTCTCTCTATGTCTCTCCCTCCCTCTCTCTCCCCCTCTCTCTGTCTCTTTCTCTCCCTCCCTCCCTCTCCCTCCATCCCTCTTTTCCTCCTCCTCTCTCTCTCTCCCTCAGAAAAAGAGCCAGGGTGCTCCTTATAACAAGCCCCCCCCCCAAGATAAGTTAATGCCCTCATATGCAGGCAATCCCCAACTTACACCCGAAATTGGAAGCAGAATTTCCGTTGCTGAGTAAGCGGTTGTTAAGTGAATCATGGGGTCCTTAAATGAAGCCAGCCGGGGAGGTCAGATCACAGGCCCCCTGGGGGGAGGCTGTATCCACCGTAAGCGTGGGCTGGTGGCCCAAATTTTGATCATGTGATTGTCAGGGGGGGAGTGGTCTGATGGACGCAAATACGAGGATCTGTCATAAATCACTTTTTCAATGCTGTTGTAACGTCAAACCGTTGCTAAACGAATTGGTCGTAACCCGAGGGCTGCCTGTATGTTTCTTTTGCTCTAAGCATGAGACGAATCTGACATTTTTTCCCCCAGTGGATTTGAGGGGCTTAAAATTACTTCCATCGGAATAGAGCTGGAAGGGACCTCGGAGGTCATCTAGTCCAACCCGAAGTACTACCTTTTAAGGACTGCATGCCAGCTGCTCTTCCCTTCTCCCCATCTGCTCCCCTCTCTCTGGGCTGCCTCTCCCTCCCCAAATGTTGCTCCCGTCCCCCCCAGGCAGGTGAGACCCCCAATCCCAGCCAGCCCCTCCCCACAGCCCCCTCCCCACGGCCGATTCTGCCCTCTTTCCCTGCCAGGAAACCTCCGGGGAGCAAAAGGCGGAACTGCTGAGGGGACCCCCCGGTTTGGGCCGTGGCTGCTTCTGCCCAGGAGGGTCCCAGGAAGGAGGAGAAAGCGGTGCCCACTGGGGCTGCTGTGCCTGGTCCCCTCCTTTCTGGGGCTGCTGTGCCTGGTTCCCCTGGAGGGGGGCTGGGGTGGTGAGATGCCCCGGGTGTGGCTGGGTCCCTCTCTTCTCCTCCCTCCCTCCCTCCCTCCCTCCCTCCCTCCCTCTCTCTCTCTCTGCCCAATGGATTCTGTGGGTGGAGGGAATCTGCCAGCTGCCCTCGGCCTCTGCCACCTTCGCTCCCCCAGCAGAGGATGAGAATCCCGCCGGGTGTTTTCAGCTTAAAGGCAGCTTAATTGCAGGGGGGGGGGAGAGACTTTTCCTCTTCCGACCGTGTCCTGCCGTCTCCGACTCACCGCCGGGTGCTGCAAGGCGCCTGGCGGTGGGTTCAGCCTCCTTCCCGCCCGTCTTCTTTTCCAGATCACGATGCCCCGACGCTGGTGCTATAAAGCGGAGACCCTCGTCCTCAGCCTGGTGGGCTTCAGCTGCCTCCTCTTCCTCCTCCAGTCGCACAGCCGCAGCCCCCTCCCGGAAGAGGCAGGCACCCCGGAGCCTCCCACGGCGCCCCCCACCCCCACGGCCCCGCAGCCGCTTCCCGAGTGCCGGCAGAACGCCTCCGTGGCCGGACTCCCCGGCTTCGCCGAGCTGCCCAACCACATCAAGGACTTCCTGGGCTTCCGCCACTGCCGGGCCTTCCCGCTGCTGCTGGACCTGCCCGGGAAGTGCGGCCCCCCCGAGGCCTCCCACCAGGTCTTCCTGCTGCTGGCCGTCAAGTCCTCCCCGGCCAACTACGAGCGCCGCGAGGTCATCCGCAAGACCTGGGGCCAGGAGCGCACCTTCGCCGGCGTCCACATCCGGCGCGTCTTCCTCTCCGGCGTGGCAGGCAGCCCCCGGGAGGCGCGCAAGCTCAACCGGCTGCTGCGCCTGGAGCATGCCGAGCACGGCGACATCCTGCAGTGGGGCTTCGTGGACTCCTTCTTCAACCTCACCCTCAAGCAGCTGCTCTTCCACGCCTGGCTGGAGAGGCGCTGCCCGGCCGTCCGCTTCGTCTTCAACGGGGACGACGACATCTTCGCCAACACCGACAACATGGCCCACTACCTGCTGGGGGTGCCCGGCGCAGGGGACCAGCACCTTTTCGTGGGCCACCTCATCACCAACGTGGGCCCCATCCGGGAGAAGTGGAGCAAGTACTACGTGCCGGAGCAGGTCACCTCCGCCAAGTCCTACCCGCCCTACTGCGGGGGCGGGGGGCTGCTGATGTCCGGCTTCACCTGCCACGCCATCTACCAGCAGGCGCTGGGCATCCCGCTCTTCCCCATCGACGACGTCTACCTGGGCATGTGCCTGGAGAAGGCGGGGCTGGCCCCCTCCTCCCACGCGGGCATCCGGATGGTGGGCGTGAGCGTGCCCTCCGCCAAGCTGGACTCCTTCGACCCCTGCTACTACAAGGAGCTGCTGATGGTGCACCGCTTCGTGCCCTACGAGATGCTGCTCATGTGGGAGGCCATCCACCAGCCGGACTTGGTCTGCGGGAAGAAGGCGGAGATTTACCCGAGTTTGTGAGGCGTCGTGAGGAAGGGGCGCTCTGCCTGCCAGGGGAGGGGGCTGCCCGGTCTGGAAGGGCCCAGAGACTCTGCCGCAGGGGGCCGTTGCGAGGAGGAGTTTTGACCAGGGGTTTGGCTTGGACCATCCGCCCCACACGCCCTCCCTTCCTGCGAAAGGCAAGGGAGGCTTTGGGAGGCTGACATCGCGCTGGCATGGAGCCTGGGGCCGGCCATGTCTCACCGCTCGCTGGCCACGGGATCCGCGCAGGATGGACGGTTCCTGTTGCCCAAAAGCCATCCTGCAACGACAAAGCCCCCCCCCCTTCTGATCCCCTTCTGGAGCGACGGAAGGGACCCCTTCCTGGACGGTGGATGAGGCTGGCCCTGGGGTGGGGCCATGGGTCGGTGTTCCCATGGGGGAGGGGGCATGACCACCTGCTGGGTTCAGGGGGGGGGCCCTCTGCCACCACCCTCTCCTGGGAGACAAGCTGCAAACAGCCGTGAGCATCACAGTCAGACTGATGGGCGCAGATCGTAGCACCTCGTTCCTCCCTCTTCCTCAAGGGAATTATAGCTCAGGCCTGGATTCCTCCGGAGGCAGGCTGGGGGGGCCACCCAGCCCGACCCTGCCCCCCTCCCCCATTCATAACCGAGCAGCAGAGTGGGCAGCCCACAGGGCCCCTCTGAGTGGGGGAGGGGGTGGCCGGACCCCGCTGGGGACTTTCTCCCCATCTGCTCTCTCCAACCTCCCAGGTGCCAGAATGGGGGGGCAGCTCAGGTGGGGGGGGCTCCCCTTGAGAGAACAGGCAAAGGCCCCTCAGCTGAGGGGGGAGGGGAGCCAGTGCCTGACTTACTGGGCCAGAGTCGGGGGAGGAGGTGGGAGGGGGGGGTCACATGCTGGCACAGGCTCAGCCCCCCCACAGCTGCAGGGCCTCTTCCCCATAGAGCTTCCCCCCTCCCCTACTCTACCTCCTGGGGTCCCTTGCCTCCTGTGAGGGGCGGGGCAGTCTTTCAGGAGCCCCACCCCCTTTTGAGCCAGAAAGGCTGACCCACAGCTGCAGACTCCTGGCCCACCCGCCCACCGAGGGAAAGAAAGCGCTTCTCCACAACAGCCTCTGCAGTGTCGCCTTCATGGACAGCCGGGGGGGGGAGGGGTCTCCCTGGGTGGGCTGTACGGGGCCCCCACCCCAGAACAAGGGCGGGGCCCGGGGCTGCTTTGCTCGGCCAGCCTGGGTGGATTCCTCCCCCAGTGCAGGGTCAGCCCTCTTGACCCTCAGGAGGGGCGACCCTTGAGGGGGGGCTCCCCTCTTTTGGGGGCTGGGGAAAGGCCTCAACTCGCTTCTTGTGGGCAAAGGGAGGTTGGAAGCAGCAGCCACAGATCCTTCGGCCTCTTGGCACAGGGGGCGGGGGAAGCGGCCAGTCAAGGGACACTCTGGGCAAGACCCCCTGTGGAGCTGGCCAGTAAGGGGGCTGCTGACCTGGGCCGGCTCTGGGAGCCATGGAGGCACCCGGGTCTTTCCCTGGTTTGCACACCGTTCTCTCTGGCGCTCTCTCGCTCCCGGCCACTTCCCAGAAGTGTGTGGTGCGACCGAAGCGGCTGGCTCCTGTAAGGGTCCGGCTGAAGGGAAGGGCCGGGGCAGCGGTGGCAGGTGGGCCCTGTTGGACACGACTCCCTGGCCCCCTCTCGGGAGGCGGCCTTGGCGATCCAGGCGTCAAGGGGAGGTCGGCCCCCCTGGACCCCTTTCTCTGCTTTCCTTGTCTCTTTTATGGCTCTGTCCTCCCGTGTCTTCCATAAAAAGGTCATTATTTATTTTATTCCCTTTCTGGCTGTGAAATTGAGCGAAGGGGCCGGTGGGAGGAGAGGTTTGGCCTTGGGGGTCTGGCAGAGACGCAAAGAACCCCACTGCGGATTGGCCCCTCTGGACCTGCGTCCTGGGAAGCGGGTGGGGGCCCCAGCTGTTCCCTGGGGCGGGCAGACGGGCGAGGCGCAGCCACAGACCCGGATCCCACTGTTTACGCTGGCGGACTCCCTCTGCGGTGGACTTTGGTCCCCATCCGGGGGAGGGCTGGACATTGCGGAAGGCAACCTTTGAGAACACCTGGGCAGGTAAGCCCGGCAGCTGCTTCAGGCACCTGGAAGATCTTACGTGGCTCCCACTTCGGCAGCGTGGCAAGGGCAGAGCAGGCCGTGCGCCTGGGCACTCCTTGGGGCAGGCTTTGGAAGGAGCCTGAAGGGAGAGGTGGAGGCCAAAGGCTTCCATGCTTGGCCTCCTCCCGAGTAAGAAGGGCCCCTACGTCAAGCGGAGCAACCGGCAACTAGAACGTTTTGCTTCCCATCCCGGAAGCTTCGTTCCAACTCGAAGGAAGCTGCTTGGGGGGAGAAGCAAAATGTTTTCAAAGAAAACCCCAAGGAAGCCCCATTGCCTTTGGAGAGGAAAAAAACCCCTAGAGGTGAGCAAGAAGTGAGGTGTCTCCGGGCACACAGCCAGCTCTTCCCCGGGGCCTTTATGGAAAGCCCAGAGGACCAGCACTGGCCAAATGCCACTTGATAGGGAGGCAACTCACAGCATCTTGCAAATCTGAAACCACAATCCCCCCCCCCACACACACCCCTGGGTCTCCTTTACAGCCAGAGAGAGACGGGGAGGGGNTTCTTCCACATTTCCAACACAGTGGGGATAACCCAGGAAACATTTTGGCTAACCTCATTGGGGGAAAGTGCCATCTATAAATCATCTTGTATATATTGTCTTTAAAAGCTGTAGATATTGTGAGTTTAATAGTCTTACTCTTTTACTTAGATTATTTTGACTGCAGAAATACCTGAACCAGAGCCCAAAGTTGAAAACATCAGTTATTTATCTCTCTCCTGTCACTTACAAGGCAAAGGGCATTCTTGCCAGAGGGGCTAAACAGATCACGTATAATTGTTTTTGCAATTAGGCCAATGGCTAATGTAAAAGCCAAACAATTCCCCTTTATTTAAGCTCCACATTCATGGTAGCCATCACGCATACAACTGTATGCATAAGTAGAGGGAGCTAGGTATGTCTGGACTATAAAAGAAAAGGATTGGGAAAGGGGACATAACTATATTCCAGTACTCGGGGCAGTCACAGAGAATAGGGGATTGACTTATTCTCCAAAGCATTAGAAAACAAGACAAGAAGTAATGGGTAAAGGCTTGCTAAAGAGAGATCCAACTTGGAAGTAAGGAGAAATTTTCTGATAGTGAGAGCAATTAGTCAATGGGATAGCTGGCATTTTGGAATTGTAGTTGCCCCAACAAAACTATTTGATTGGGATAGTATAAGACTCCTGCCCTGAACTGGAAGTTGGACTAGAAGACCTCCAAGGTCCCTTCCAGACTTATGATTCTATTTTCTATGATGTAAATGACCGTTCTTTGCAAAATTTGGGCAATTTGGGCAATTTGGGCTGGAGAGTTTTCCCTTCCTCTGCTTACTCACATATTCACATACTCAGGGATTGTTCATCTGAATATTTTCTAAAAGGATGGTAGAAAATTATTAAATTGGCTGTTACTGAAATTAGTAATAAGTCGATCATATGTGTGACATCAGTAAACCTAGGATTACAAATGGATCAGTTTATACTCCATGGGGGAATCAGTCTGTTGTTTTTGTTAATGAATAGATTGTTCTCTTCTAAAAACTGAGGAAGACAGCCGGAAGTATAAAGTGACCTATTATAACTCGAAGGCAAGGGAATGTAATGAATGATCACAAGGAAGTGTTGGGTTTTAGTGTTCGACAATGGAAGATAAAATTGAATTCACTGTGGAATTATTATGGAATTATTAACTTTTCCTACCAATTTCCAATGCATCAAAAAATAAATAATTCTATAAAGGTTTTTTTATCTTCCTTTGACTGCCACATATTATCCATCAGGGGTGGGTTTCTCGCCCCGTTCCAACCGGTTCGGTTGGAACGGGGCAGCGGCGTCCTCATGCACGCGTGCAGCGCACGCATGCGTACTAGCATCTGTGCGATGCTCCAGCTGCTCCTGGAGGATCGCGCAGGCGCTG